TGCAGGTGCACTACGCCATAGGCGATTTACATGTCTATGTCGCTGCACGACTTTTATATAAACAAAGAACAAGAAACCGGTAACACCTGATGAGAGAATACATGAAATTGGTCTTCAATATAGCATCAAATCTCTGTTGATGTGAGATAAAAAAAAAGAGAGAAAAAAAGAGAAATGTTCACAGCATCCCAATCAAAAAATCAACCATTAGAGGAAAAGAGAGAGAGAGATAGAAAAGAAGAAGAAGAAAAAAAAAAGAAAGAACGAGGGAAGGAAAAAAAAGAAGACAGCAGACGGAAGCTTTATGTTTACATATCTCTCTTGCCTTCAGTGCACGATATACCACTATCATTGACGATCAAGCAACAATACCCGATCAGTTCACTTGCGACATTGTTAGGAAATTGAGTAAGTATTAGTTTTTTATGTGTATACTATAATTTATTGTGTTACATAGTATTTTATTATTGCTGAAAATTCTAATAAAAGTAATTGACTGTTATAATTCGCATATGACTGTTTGTATAGTATGAAAAGCTACTGTTTTTTTTCTTCTTGTTTGACTTTATATATAGATACTTAAATATATAACTAAACAAGTATGATATATCTAATTCTAATGTACAGCTGTTCAAATCACTCTAGACTAAAGCTTATCTACTTGCATCTTTTTACACGTAGACGCCGACATACGAATATGTCATGCATACGTTAAACAGTTTATAACTCTTTTGCTCGTTTTGCGTCAACAGCTGGCAATAGCAGCAGCAGCAGAAGCAATTCGATTTTGCCATCTATCAGTCTCTTCGTTTTTTTTTTGCCTTGCTCATACTGGGAATATACACTCGTGCAACTTCTGTTCTAATTCCCCAAAGAGAACCAAATGGTCCCTTCGTAAAAATAAAAAACATATGTTCTATATTCTCTTCCCTCTGTTTGCCGCTTTAGCTACGCTAATTTTTAACTTATGGTCTGCTTTCTTCTTCCTTAAGTTCATCTCCGAACACAGATGTCTTTTCTTTTTTTTTTTTACAAATAACATCTACTTCTATTTTTCTGTTTCTTATCTTTGTGAACAAGGAAATAATCACAAACAAAAAAAATGAAAAAATAAAAATAGAACTAAAAAAACTTTTACATAGTTTTTTTTTCTTTGTACAAGTGAAAATATGATTGATGGAGTTGTCGGTTTTGACCATTTCAATGCTAGCATTTTAACCTTTTTCTATATATGTATGTATGTAAGCGTAGCTATCGTTGATAGTTAAGTAAAGCAAATCGTTTTGTTTGATTGATACGCGCTAACCTTTTGTGCAGCTGCTACTATATGTATTTGTGCACGCGTAAGATAGACAACAGACCAGATACCTGTCCATTCATTTTTTTTCTCTTCCTCTTGTAACATCTGCATCAATCGCATGTTTATTCATTAAGGATTTTGCAGCTGCACAGAAACAGATGACGCTCTGAAGAAGAGACGATGATGATGATGATGTTCAAAGAGGGAAAAAAATTGCATTTTGTCACATGGTGCGACTAATCCTAAAACAAATACATCTATATATATATACACGTCGCGTCATATAATTGAAAATATATTTGTTTGAAGTGAAATGAACACCCTATATAGATTCGGCGTCGGTTGGCTAGCTTAAAAGAAAAATGATTTCTATTAGTGCATTATATTCATTGTTGTTCTTTGTGTATTAAGTGTTTGGCATAAGACAAACGTATGCGCTTATACTAGAAATGGTCTTATATAGAAAGAAGAAGAATAATAATGACAGATTAGATAGTATAGTGTGTATGTTTCTTTTCTTCTTCAATATATGCATATCTACAGACAAATAGATAGATAGATAGACGGACGAGCTCTATTGAATGTTGTTGTAACTTGAGTAGGATAGAAGATGATCGACAGTCATTAACTTATCTATGTTCTTTATTTTTCTATTGTAGATTATTATATCATGACATCGACTACTTTTACAAATACAGATGATAATTATTATGAATTAGGACAAGAATTTAAAAAACTAGCTTCACTTGTACCAACAATACCAAAAGATGAATGTCTTTCAGAACTTGAATTTATTGAAATTGTTATTGCTTATATTCGACAATTACAACAACTTCTTACACATGATCAATGGAGTGAATGTTTAAATAAATTGGCATCATCTATGAAGAATTCTCTTCTATCATCAACATCTTCACCTCCCTCTTCTCCACATGCAACAAATCTATTGAATCAATTAATACATGAATCTCCACGAACACAAACAAATGAAAATTCATCGATAATACGCCGAAGTCCATTGGCAACCATTAATCTAGACAATACTCGATTATCGTGAACAGTATCTTCTATATATATATTTGTGTGTGTGTGTATCTGTATGTCTTTATTTTGTTGTTCATTCATTCTCTTATTGCTTATCAATTGATCTATATACTCTATCTTCATTTCTACTCAAAAGAAAGAAAAATCGAAACACAAAATATTTATTTTCTTATGTATATTTATTTTTATAACTAGTCACATCGATCAAATATGGCATTTCTTTAACTCAAGGCATTATCATGAATATTTCTACAATTCGATTGATTAGACTTATTATAAAAACTTGTTATTTTTGTTGACAAGAATTAGATAGAAAATAAAATTGTATTTAGACATTGTATGTCACAGAATGACATTTTAATTTGGGATATTCTTTCATAATAATTCATGTTAGCTAAATCAATAAGTGAAAAGTTGTTTTTTTTTTTTTTGAAAGAATATCTGTTGAATACCGTATATCAACATGAATACAAATAATATATCAGAAGATCTCTCAACGAGAGAAAATACAATTGGAAAAAATTTGTTAGCGCAACCCCTTTTGTAGCTGAAATGCGGAAATCACATGTGTACTTTTATCTCATTATACTAATACAAAATATGCAAAGTGAAAAATCTTTTGAAGATTATAGTTATTTTTCAAGATAATCGATCGTCAGAGAAGCGATCCGTTTCATTTATTTCTACATTTCAAACAGAAATTTTTTCTACTTTTTACTGACGCTTTAGCTTTTGTTTGTCTTGTTGTAATTCGCTGATCATTTTTCATTTTCGTTTTTCGTCATTTAACATTAATATTATTCTAACCATTGGTTAACTGGTAAATAAGCTTGTTCGACATATCTATTATATCTATAACAGATCTCAACGTACTATGATGTATCTCGATAAACTCAAAAACATTGATATTAATTATATTCTAAAATTATAACTTGATCATATGATGACTCTAGTAAATCAATGCATCCCTATCTATCATCGTTGACATCTTGATTATAAATTTTTATTTGTGTAAAAGTCAGAAACTGAACTATGTAGAACATTTATAAACGTATTGCAGACATCCAAATTTCAACGAAGTCTTTGGCATGTTTAAGAATTCTCTAGAATAGTCTAAGTCTTGTTGTTAATGCTTTTCAGTAGTCTTTTTTCATCGCTGAGAAACTCTGAGAAAAACTTCTGACATCGGTTGCCCTCGGTAGCTAGGGTCTATAATGGGAAAGGAATCCGCAAAACTTTGATTTAGAACTTACGCTCACCATTTTCTAGACTTTAAAAATCTTTTAATTAGAAACTGAAAATTAAAGTTTCAATTTAATATATCATGCTTATTGATTATCATATTCGATTGACTTTGACATGTGTAATTATACATAGCTTAAAGTAAATATTATGACTTGTACGTAGTGACTCATACAAATTGTATTATAGATAAACGAAGTTGTATTAGAAATTGTTGATTTTCGATGTTGAAAAACAGATTTGTTAGAATGACTAATATCATTCAGCTTTTGTTTAAAAAATTATTTATTTGAATTTTTCGTTGTATATTTTTAATATTTGATTTTATTTACATAATCTTATTGTTATTACATAAGGTTTTCAATTGATTTTAACAAGACTGATATGAAATTTTGATATTATCTTATAAAAGTTTTGTTTCTTCTGGCGTCTTAAAACCAATGACGACGTGCATGTAAAAGATTACAACATGTCTGAAAAAACAAACTTACATATTTTATTGTTTTTTCTTCCAACAAATTTTTTCTTTTTTGTGTCATGTTGATTCTTCTGTATGAATAAACAAAAGCACATTACTATGTAAAAGCATGTATGATAAAGTTTATACAAACTGAATAATTTCTATTGTAGTAAAATATTTCATTTTTAGACAATAAAATCTTATCGAATTCGATTTATTTTTAATACTAGTCTTAAATCATTTGCAAATATTCATTCGAATATGCTTAGAGAAAACATTACAAACTGGTAATAAACATTTTTAATTCTAAAACTACTGTCCTTCTTTTACTGCCTAGTTGGATTATATTTTATGGACCTGAATAAAGAAAAAGACAGAAACATATTCTTAATCAATTTCATCATAAAAACAAGAATGAACTTTTTTTTTGTCGATATTCTCTTACATAGATAATGTATTGTCTTCGGTAAGGATATTCTATCATGAACAATATCAAAAAGATTACTAATAAAGTTTGTATTTTTGATGTTTCTTGTGAAAGCTTCACAGATCTAATTAGAAGCAAAGAGAACTTATAGTCAGTCATGGAAATTTTCGTTTTTCTGATTTTAATACCATAATAGAAAGTTTGTCCTGTTTTATTTCTATTCGTTCTGTTTCGAGAGTGTCACTTCCTCTTTATTTTTTGATCGATTATCATTGCATGCATCATATTTTTTCTTTTCTTAACAATGGATGTAAAAAATTTCGTAATGTTATTGAAATATTTTTTGTAGAAAAAGAAGCAGAAATCTCATGACATCATAGATTGTGATGGCAGGATCAATTATTTTTCTAAAATAGATGAAATATTTTGTTTGCTTTTTGAGATTGTAATAAACTATTTAATCTGAAACAAAAACCTGCCAGACGTAAATTAGCTTTCAGTCATTATTTATATTAATCAAGTTACAAATGGCTGAAGCAATACGAGAAACAATTCTCTGTCAACATTGTAATACTCTGATTAACTTTCAAGATTGGACTGAACATTCAGTGAGTAATTGACATTATTTTTTTCTAGTCTATATTTCAGTTTTTATTCAACATATTGTAGATAAAATGTCTCGATATTAAAAAAAATCGCAGAAGAAATCGAAGAAAGTAAAGAAATAACTTACAATTTTGTTCATTGTTGCTTCTTTTTAGAAAATCTGTGAATAATGAATCAGATAATGAAAGAATTCCATGTGAATTCTGTTATGATCAAATTAGTGTAGATGATTGGAATTCTCATTCTGTAAAATAAAAAACGATATCTAATATACAATCTAATTATTTCAACCACATTATAGGAACAATGTACTAATGCACATAAATGTCGAGTCGAAAATTTAAAAAAGTACTATGTCAATCTTTTTTAAATACATGGTTTACGTTTCATATTTAGTGGTATTGACAATGAACCAATTAATATTTTAGTTCCATGTGAATATTGCAATAAGCAAGTCAATGCACATGATCTTGAATGGCATACAGTATTTAAAAAAAAAATCTTTTCTTGTTAATATAAATATGTATTTATTTCTATCATATTTCAGAGACAATGTGCTGATAAATATCGACGTCAAATTCAAAAATTACAGAAGTAAAATATTTTCACAATTAGATTAGTTATGTTTCATTTTTATATGATTGTAGCAATGAAACAACGCTCGTTCCATGTGAATACTGCAATGCTCAAGTTAACGCACTAGAATGGGAACTGCATACGGTAAAACAGATTGAGGCGCTTTGCTTTTCTTCTATCTAGCTGAGATTCATCAAAGGTTAACGATCAATCAGTATGAATGTTTGGTATAGTTTCTTTCTTCAACTGATATGATTAATTGCTAATTTTTTATCATTAGTTTTGCAAAGTAGTGTGAGAAAATGAATGAGATAGGATAATTGTGAAATCTAGAATGAAAATACAAGTCTTTGAATAATATAGTTCGATCAGATATTAAGAATAACATCAGTTAATATTTCAAATATTAAACTATACAGAGTCTTATTTAGTTGTTAGCACATACTAATGTATAGGAAAAAACAGCTCGTTTGGCTGATGAACAACTGATGATATCTTCTCATTTAAATTAAGCGATGAGTGATACATATGTACTTAACGGCTTAATCTTAGATTATCGTCTATTGTCTGAGAACTTTAGAATGATGAACAATATATGACTAGCTTATAGATAAGTTTTATATTTTATGTAATTTATTGTTTTCAAAATTACAGATATGTTTGTTTTTACTTTCCTATAGAACGGATGTATTGAAGCTGAAAGACAGATGATTGGAGATTTGACTAAGTAAAAAAATAATTCATGTATTTCATTTGTTTTTTTGACTATTAATTATACCTTTAATTTGAAGACATACAGCAATTGACCCATCTGATGAGCAGATTCCATGCGAGTATTGTAATAAATGTTATTCTATACACAAAATCGAATCACATCAGGTCTGTATTTTCTTTATCAATTTATTAAGTCTATGCCTAACTAGAATATCATTTTTTTTTGTCTTTTTTAAGAAAAGATGTCGACATAAGCAATCCTTGTCAGCTTTTCAACCGGTAAATAAACTGTAACTTTTTGTTTAACTTTGCAATAAATATAGACGAATTCTTTTGGTTGTTTTTCTTTTTTTTTAAACACAAATAGAATGCTCTACATGATGAAGTATTTGGCACCATCTATTCTTTACCAAAACATTGGGATCTTTCAGCATTAAATAATCTTACTCGTTATATTCTTGATCCTGAAACAGAAGAATACAAATTCGTTGCAAATAATTTTCACCAAACATTACCATTGAATCAAATTGTTCAAATTGAACGAATTCAAAATCGGCGTAAGTGGAGATGACTTATCTATCTATGAAATCTTTCATCTTTTTCATGTTCTTTCCCTAATATCAAAACTAGAAGTAGATAGTTCTTACTCTAAATTTCTTGAACGTTTTAGAATTTATGTTGAATAATCATTGACGAATGAAATTCTATATATTATCTATTAAAATAATATAATAAAATACATAGAAAATGTATAAAAGGACTAGTTATTGAATTTAGATGTATTCGTTTATTCGTACATACTTTTTTAATAAATCTTTCTTTCCTTTGTATGGATTTTACAGGTTGGTATCGTCAATATGATGCTCATAAAGAGGATTTTATTGAACGATATGGTAAAAGTACTGAAAGATGGTTATTTCATGGTGAGTTACATATATTCTTTATTGTTTCTATTTTCCAACTCTGAATAATATTAGGATGTCGTGAATCAAGATCAGCTGAAGCAATTATTCATGATTGTTTCAATCGCAGTCATGCTGTTAATTGCGGTAAATGATTTGCTTATTCATAACAAAAATTAAACTATAAACAAATGTATTTTTTTTTCGACTCATGCACATAGCTGTTGGTCAAGGAATCTACTTTGCGACACAGGCTATGATCAGTCATGGTTATACTCAGCCTGATGCAAATAGACTCAGACATATGTTCATGGGTGAGAATATTATGCTTCATTCAATTTTTATATATTTGTTTCTCTCTGAAAAAACTAATTAATTGTAAAATGTAATGTCAATTTTATTCGAAAACGACAAAAATCACATTAATATGAAAAGAAAAGTAATGTTTAAAAAAAAATGTATTTTTATAAGTTGAAGATCTTATTTGATTGAACTCTTTTACAATTGAGAAACGAATGAAATAAAATCTAAATTTGTATTTTGTAATTTCTAATAATTTATACATAAAAAATTGATTAGATTATTTTTCTTTCTTTTTTTCAGCTCGTGTGTTAGTCGGAAGAACAACTGTAGGAAGTTCATCGATGCGTATTTGCCCTCCAGGTTTTGATACGACAGGTGGAGGAAATGTTTTTGTAACTTATCATGATGCTCAAGCTTATGGAGAATATTTAATAGTCTACAAATGATACAAGTTTTATATTTATTTTTTTTGTTCTTTTTTTGTAACTGAACTTTTTTAATACTTTTTGATAAGGATATTATTCTCATGGTTTGTTTATTCTTATATTTATCTATATATATATATGTATTATCTTCAATTTACTGCATGAATATGATGGAATAGATGTTATCAAAATAGGAATTTTTCTATATATTGATCATAAATCAAAATTCTCATTGTTTGAATGATACATTCATTGTTAAATCATATATCTATTTAACTAAACACAATAGATGTGTGTTATTTCTTATTTCAACTCATTATGTGCAGAAATCATTGAAAACTATGAATGAAAAATTCAATCGTTCATATTTATTGAAAACCAAAAAAATTAGCTGTATTAAAAATTAACTGACAATATAATTTCACTGAACTGAATTGTCAGAAAAATTTTCGAAGTTGAATGATTATTTCCATTGAAATATAGTTGAACATCAACATTATAATAAAAATCAAATCACTGATATATTTATTTAACTTAAATATGTCTATGATTTTCCTATGATTTCATGCTATTTTTGTTTAGTATTGCAATAATATAATTTCCTTCCTTCCGATTAAGTTATTTGTGTTTCGTCAACATGCATTGCTGCTATGCCAGCTATAAATATTGATCAGAACAGAATGTATATATATAAATGACATAAGGAAAAAAAAAAGAAGAACCGACTGTGTACAGTAGATGGCACTACTATTCAATTCGATTTTAAATGTAATCGATATTTGACATAAAACAGTATAAAAATATATATATGAAAATATTTTAAAGAAATATTTTTCATTAAAAATTTGAAAGTAAGATATTCAATTTTGAAAATAAACAAAAAAAGCAATAAAAATACTCAATTAATAAACAAATAAACAAAATTATTGAACATTAGTCAGCATAGACTTTTCTTCAGTTACGGGAACATTTACAATTTTTTTTCTTTTCTTCGGTTAACTGTCAAGATCGACAGCTAGTCCTTTGGGAAGATTATGACCTTGTAATTGTTCTTATTTAGATTAGAATTACAATTAAACATGGGTGCTACATATGGACAACGACAACGAGTATAAGATAAAAAATCTTTTTTTTTTTTTACTGGAAATTGTTTTCTATATTTTCATAGAGTAAACTTCGTTTTCTCATGGGTATTAATGGTCTATTATTAGCTCTTGCTATCTTTATTATCATTTCTATGTCTATTTATTGGGGCTTCTTCGAAGAATGGACTATTTGGACAGATTATACCATGCCTTGGGTAGAATTCATTTAAAAAATAATAATCTCTCTCTCTATATATATATAATTAAATCTATTTTAGGTTGAATTTAATTTTTTCATCTATTACTGGGATCGTTTGACTATCACTCGTGTTTATCTTTCATTTATTTACCTATATGGCTTTGTTCTTTTCACGAGTAAGTTATATATATATTTCATAAGAATTTGTTTATGAATTGATTCTTTTTTTTTTTTTTTTTCTTTTAGTTATTGCATTGCAAATTCATGGCTATCGTCGACGAAATATTTTCCTTATGGAATATGTTCCTTATTCATTATTTTGTTTAGCTATAGTAACAGTTATTGGTGGTTTATGTTGGTTTGCTGTAACAATGATAAATATGAATGCTGGATTTTTAACAAAAGAAACATTTTTACTTGAACGACTTCGTTTTCGAGGCAATGCTTTTAAAGAATTAAAATATCGTGAACAATCATTTAATTTGGTTACATCGGGTCTTGTACCACCACGTGTTTTTATAGTAACTGCTTTTGTTAATCAGTAAGAAAGATTTTATATGTCTTTTAAAATAAATTTAAAAAAAAAAACCAAATTTTCTTTGTTTTTTAGACGTCAAAGAGATTTTCATTGTTGTGGTTGGAATTCGTATCTTGATTATGCAGCTTCACATAAAACAGATTTACCAGATACATGTTGTCATAAAGTTCGTTATTTCTTTTGATTTGTTTTTTCTTTATTTAATTTATTTCTTAATTGATTAGCATCAAACAGTTTATAGTTGTGGTAAAAATATGTTAATTAATCCTGATCCAAAAATTGTTAATACACGTGGATGTGGTCCATTAATGAAATATTGGTATCGCCGTGGTTTTTGGGAAAATGTATTTATGGGTTTATTTGGACTATTTATTGGTATTTATATGATATTTGTATTTCAACATAATCATAATGAATATATTCAATTACGTGATGAAGCTGATGATAAAAAACGTATTTTACATTCACAATCTATGGCATCATTTCGTTCAATGAATAGTAATGTTGTAAAACATCCAATAAAAAATAGTTTAATACGTTATCCATATACTGGTATGCGTGGTTCACCATCAAATGGTACAACTACTGGTTATGATTCAGATAATAATAGTACAAGTGTACTTTATCAAGCACGTGGAACATTTAATCCAAATCCTTAATACGAAAAAGAATTTTTTTTTTCTGTATATACATTTAATGTAGTAGTTTTCGCCAGATATTTCACTTCAATTGTTTGTTTGTTTGTTTTTTTGTATATGCATTTAATGTAATCTTTTCTGTCAGATATTTTATCTTAATTCGTTGCTTTTTTTTTTTTGTTATTTATATATATAAAATTAATGACATTCCATTTATTTGTATGTTGTTTTGTTTTTTATTTCTAGATGAAATGTTAACTCAACATGAATATGATAATATTTCATCTCAAAAAAGTTGTTATAGTAGTGATACAAATGCAACAGTATCAGTTATACAAAGATATTTAACAACAACAACAACAACAACAGCAACATCTGTGGTTTCATCATCATCACGTATACAAAATTCCATACCAGAAATTAAAGTTAAACCATGTACAAAAGAATTTCTTGGAAAACATTTTAATGATGTAAGAATTTAAGATAATATTTGATTTTTCAAGAAAAAAAAAAAAAAGATTTATTTTACAATTAAAAGGCATATCCAATGTTTAAAAATCCTCGTGGTCAATGTTTAATTATAAATGTATATAATATAAATGGAGCTATACGTCGTTGGTCGGATTTAGATGTAAAATTATTAAGTGATCTTTTTCGTCAATTATATTTTAATGTAATTGTTTATTCTGATTTTAATGGAGATGATCTTGGAGCAGAGGTTTGATTAAATTTATTTATTTGTATTTTTAATATTTAATTTATAGAATTTTATGAAAATTCTTAAACAATTTTCTCAATCAAAAGAACATGTCAATGCACAATGTTGTATTATTTGTTTGATGAGTCATGGAGAAGAAGGTTCATTAACAGTACAAGATGGAAAAAAAGTTTGTTATTGACATAGTCTTTATAGATATAAATGAATTGTGTATATATATATATATATATATTTTCTTATAGATTTACCATGATCATGTATTTGATCTATTTAGTAATGTAAATTGTCCAAATTTAGCCGGAAAACCTAAACTTTTTTTTATTCAATGTTGTCGAGATGGTAAATAGATTTTATTTTAATAGAAATAGAATACAGGAAATATGTTTCATGAAGCACGATCTAAAAGAAGTGTTGAAGTATCGAAGTAGAAATTTTGACCCCCCACAGGCATGACAGACATCTTATCAATGAATTATCACGAACTTGGCAGAACTCTTAGAGGCAGCTCATCATAGACCGTGACCAATGCTTTAGAAACACTTCTTCTCTCTCCATCTTGCATCATAGATTGATATACGTCGTTAATATACAATGACAGATCATATATCAAAAACGTCTGGTTATAATAGATGAACTACTTCCTTATTGCATTTCTGGAGAATTAAGTAAATGGATGGTGTAGAAATGTGTCCCAAGATAGATAGAATAAAACAATCTCTATGTAATTTATCAACAGCAGCTACATCGCGTTTCATATTTTAATCCCACAGGGATTGCATTAACAATTTTTTTTTCTTGTAGATCCTGGAGTGGGTCCAGTTGATGATGCTGGTTGTCATGTTCAAATACCATCAAATACATCATTTGATGATCTAATTTTCGATGATGATGATGAATGTGATAGTATGCAACGACATCATTTACCTACAATGACCGATATGCTCATAGCATTTCCTTCACAAAAAGGTATCGTTGTTTTTTTTTTTATTTAATTTTTTATTTATGAAAATGATAAATTTAAATATAGGTTTTACTGCTTTTCGAAAACCACATGTTGGTAGTTGGTATATGAATGCTCTTGTCGATATCTTAGCTCGACATGCTAAAGATACAGATCTTTGTTCAATGCTTAATATGGTTAATGGTTGTGTATCACGTGAAGTAACTAATAAAGGAAAAAAACAAACAGCAGAATATAAATCATCATTTACAAAAAAAGCATTTTATTTTTTTCCTGGTATAAATTTTCTTTTCTTTTGAAAAATTTCATTTTTATTTTATTTTATTAAGGTTTAACTGGAAATCCAATGGCACCAATTGATTATTGTAAGTTAATATTATTATTATTTTTGATCTTCTTTAGTTTTAGTTTTATTTTTTTTTTTTATTAGCTATTCATAGTCGAAATGATGTAAATAATAGAAAAGAAACACTAACAACAATGAATAATAATATTGATCATCAACATGATAGTTCATCAATAAATTTTGATATAATAAAAAAATTTTTTATTGAAAATCTTCTTGATAAATGGAAAAGTCTTGCACGAGAACTTGATGTTAATGAAAATGAAATTGATCTTATTTCACGTGAAAATATATCATTAAAAGAAAAATTTTCATTGGTAAGTTAGATAATAATAAATGTTTTTTTTTTTCAGTTGAAAAAACTACATATTTTTTTTGTTTTAGATTTTGGATATTGTTGCTAAAATACGTCATAATAATTTACAACAAATACTCATTGATATGCTTAAAAGTTTGCAACAATGTCGACGAATGTCATATTATTGTATAAAAATATTCTTTTTTTTTTCATATCTATTAAGTCATTGTTTATATTG